AAAAGAGTAAGTGTGACCAAACAAAAACATGGCATCAATCAATCCATGAAATCCTTCACAGTTAAACTGAGTCAGGTAGGGAGGGAAATGCAGACTTCCGGGTTGGTTGGGGACCTCGGGACTCTAAGAATCAATGGCTGGAGACAATAGGTGACATGGCTCAAAATCGTTGTCAATGGCTTACGCAGATGTATTCAGTCTCTGTAATATTCAGTCTCATATTCCTTTCTACCATTACTCATTCTGTTTCACACTTAAACTTTTCAAAACTCTATTGATTCTCTATACTCATCTTCTTGTCTTGTCTTCCTTTGTGTGCTATTTGGAACGTGGCAACTCGAACTGCTGCACTTCGGTGCCAAGTTCTATGTTGAATCCAGCCAGCCAGCAATAGGATGGAACACAGTTATAGTTCTAAGAACTAATATAGTTAGGTGGAGAGAGAGAGAGAGGGAGAGGTTGATTACTGAATCTTTGTTCATCGAATCGACAGTTAACACATGTAGTAGTAGGAATGCTACAACGCCAATACCAGAGATACTACTACCAATTAAATTAAAGGATAAGAATTAAATGGAATAGTATAATCAAAGTTTGAAAGTTATGTGAGTGGTTTGATTATGAGCAATAAACTATTTTCGAGACGTTATCAGTAAATAATAATAATTCTTGCGTGGAGGCCTGCTTAAATCTGGGGCTACCAAAATTTCCATCCTACATATTGCATCTATTTCCTCGGATTTATTTTATTTTAATCATTCAATTATGAGTCCTAATCGTATGGTTTACTCTCGCGGTTATTTAAAACGTTTTCAACCGGCTGATCTACTAGTTTCCGTAAGGGGAGGGGGAGGAATGAACCCATGACACTTGCATTATCAGCACGAGAACACAAAAACAACAACAACAACAAAATACTTCCACCATATCAAAATTTGATGATGATAATGATGACATCTAGGTTGACATCGAAACGTTGAGAGTTTAAAATTCATACTCAAAAGAAATTCACACACTTATTTATAAAGACTTACTTTAAGAATATTGTTGGCGTATTTAACAACTAAAGCAACGAGTAAACCACCAAAAGAATGCAAAAAGATAACTATCCAAACAAACCAATCAAAGCCATAAAAATATCCTTTCTGTTGAATTTCATTCCAATCAGTAAGAAGTTGTACAGGTATACCGATAATAATCGACGCAAATGCTAACTCGATATTACGCTGCCATAATGATTTTTTTGTATTCTTCAAAAGCTGTAGTAATAAAGGAGGAAAACAAAAATGGGGTGGGAAGGCGAAAAGCGATAAGATAAAGAATTAAGCATAAAATGCAAGGGTAAGCAACGTGCCACTTAACCAGCTTGTTAACATTCTGGTTGACAGGCACATGGACTCATGTGAAAAATGGGCTAAATCCATTCTATCTAACTCACACCAGCCTCTTCACTCACAACTATTCCCTTGCATCTATCTCATCAGGCAAAACCAGAAGCCTATATAGAAAACTACATGCTCTCACCAGCAAGTACAAAAACTCAACCATACCCTACTTAGCTCGTGTTATGTGCGATAAAGAAGAAAGCATTAGGCGTGACACCTATAATTCATTAAATAGTCAGTAGAACAACTGGATCTCGTCTTTCCAACTCACATCAATTTTAGGTACAACATTTTCTTTCTTTCTTTTCCTTTTCTCTCTCTCTCTCTCTTTTCCGTTATGTGCTGCTTTGTTTCTTTCTCTCGCCTACTCCAGTAAATATGATAGCACCTACTTTTCTAACACCTTCAAACACTCTCTTCAATTTCGGTTTTGCTACCGACATGCCAATGTGTTGTTGTCATAATGAACTGAGATTTCCTTAATCTATGTAGAATTCTATTTATTGGTAATGTACTAATTGGATGCAACACTGTAGTAAAAGTGCTGAGAATTCCATTCTGTATCACAAGTACTGTTTTGGAATAAAGCAAATTATTATTAGGTTGGAATCATATTCTCAAAAGAACAAAAAATAATTGCTTGGCCTACTTTTTACTGTAAAGCTGAACAAATCAGCTAGACAAAATTCCCTGCTCAGCTTGTGGTGAGAGCTGTCTGCAAGACAAAATTGTAGACAACAATTCGCTCAAGTGTTGGTTTGTAGGGATTTGGTTGATTGGTTACAGGATTTTCGTCATGAACTGACATTGGAAAACCTGGGAGTACTGGACAGCTGTTTCGTCAGACTAGTTTGGGACTCTTCATCAGTACGCACCCACCAGGATTCGGCAACAATTTACGTCAACGTTTACCTTCCGAATCGGGGTCATGAGAAAAAAAGCAATAACAAAGCTTAACCTTGAGGAACTCACCAAGCAATCACAGCAGACTTGACGTGTGCGAATAAGATTTGCAGATATATATGGCTTAACTTTCTAAGGAATGGTCACAAGCAGTACAGAATAACCTTCAGCAAGAAAACAACCAATCAGAGGAGGTTGCTTCTCTGCTAACAATAACGCTGATAATAACTGTACATAAAAATTTATAAATATCTCTTGATTTTTTTCAATAAACGATCTGTTGCCTGGCCTTTATCTTCTGTCGTTACAAGTTGACCGAATTTCAACATGGACCTTTGCGTAGAAGTGCGTGCAGTTCAAGTTGCCACACTCCTTGCCGCATACATAGGTAGACAAAAGAGTTTCGAAAGCATTATAATAAACACAAATGTGAGACATGTAGACCAGTAATATGAAAAAAGCATGACAGTTTGGTGGCAGCCTTACACCCTCCTATGCATTTTAAACCAACTGTCAAGGCTTTCATGAACTGATGCCAGATCTTGGCGCCACCACGCCTAACCCTTTTCCAACTTAATCCAATGTCGGGTAACAATGCTCGTCGAAGAAGGTGTTCTTTATTTTATTTTATTTATTTATTTAAACGCAGAAAAAAACTTGGTGCAATATGGGACCAAGAAAGATGCGCCGCTCAATAATAATAAAGCAACACAGATTAAAAGTAAAAATATAAGTAGAAAACGGATAAAGAACTTCATCTGGAAGGAAAACAGTTACGTTTAAAAAGTTCAAACAGTATTCGTTAACTATCATCAGGAAGGGAAGAAAGAAGGAAATTGCAACACGTTCGCCATTGATTACGATTCTTGGCCATATCCGATAACGTTTTGAGCTATCTCGCGGACTCCAACCAGGGAGTCGTGATGCACCAACCGATGCTAATCTAGCACAAATATCCTTCATCCCACAACGCCACTTCATGGACTGACCACCCCTCCGCCTTTTCCATCCCGTCCCAGGGCTAGCGAACAGAGACCAGTACGGAAGCCTCTGGGTTTTCTAGCCATAACAAGTGATGTAGCTTCATAGCTTGATCTATTGACTTACCCTTCTTACCATAACACTTTAAGTTTAACCTGGATATTACCATATTATATCCCTTAACACGGAAGGTAGAGTACAGAAAACAGTGTACAAAGACAGCCAGTTTTCTCATATCTCCCGCTTTCAATAGCCATTTGTTACAGCTGTAAAAGAGGACAGAGTGAACTACTGTGCAGTACACGCGTCTCTACTAAACATATACACTTCGAAGAGTAATGCTAACTGCTGAGAGGTTAATTAGGAAAATAATTAGAGCAAAACAGTGAATAAAGTCTTCGACTGTTAGTTGCAGTTGTATATGATGTATAAAGGATCAATGGTTGGAGACAGTTGTTGATGTGACTCAAAACCTCACTCTAAAACATGTGGATGCACTCTTCTTCTTTATGAACTTCTAGATTCATTAAATTCGTACTCTTTCTCCTTTACGTTATAGTTCATAAGGATTTCTCTCTTTCTCTTTAGTATTGCATGCTATATGGAGTCCCAACCGGTAAATGCTAACTTGACGTGGTGCTTAGGCTTGCATATCACAATGACCCAAATAGCTGCACTGACTGGAACTAATATTTTTGCAGGTCCTGTCATGTCAGAAAAGTTGTTTGAATAGCGGTGAGACTAAAAACAGTTACCATCGTAGTGTGAGTGTGTATACAAATTTACGTGTATCTGCGGGAGCAGTTACATTGGGAGAACAGAAAGAAGGGCACACCTCCGATTTTCTGAACTTGTGCCAAAAAGCCTACGTCTCAAGGGAACAAACTCTTATAGCAGCGCTATTACTAGACATCTTCTCGACACGGGTCATGAGGTAGAAATCGAGAAATCCTTGAAAATTATCAATAGACAAAGGAGTTCCATTCTCCTCAAGTTTGCCGAAGCAATCTCTATCAAACGCTTGAAACCAGATTTATGTGTTCAGAAAGAAGCAGTTATTAATCTTTCCTTGCCCTGGTAACTGAATATCTTTATTCTCTCATCTGATTACGTAATCTTTGTCTTTAACCTCACCCCCTTTTATAATCTGTAATTTTGCTTGTCTCTTGTTTCTATGATTTGAGTTGAACTCAATACATTGTTACTTAATTTATTAGTCACTCTGTATCTAACGCATATTTCGTCTTTATTGTGTAACTCTTTTACCATTGTATGCATACATTTATTTCGTTTAAACTTGAACTGTCTGTGTAAAAACTATATAAGCGCAATTTTCTGAGCACTGTTCACCTACTGTGGAACTTTTTGTCAACTGACAACATGTAAAATTTGCAAGTATGTTAAAACATTGCTGTACGCAAACCTCATAATTTATTTAGGCTGTAAGCAGCTGATGAGAAGCCTGCGAAATAAATGATGGTACCATATCCTTCTGCACAAACCACTGTTGTTCTTGCTTTTTTCAAATTCATTTACATTATGTTGGGGGGTCATTGGGTGAAGTTATACTGAGGGCGAATAGGGATGTGACGGTAGCAAGGTGTTTCTCTCAGATAATCAGCAAGTCAAATATGCTACTTCTCAGCTCTGGAGAAGGATCGGGGGGGGGAGAGGTTAGAATAGGTCAACTCAGAATATTGTACATCCCGACTTATCTTGCGGCGATAAGACCTTACTTAATACGGACACACAACTCCAACAGCCACTTTAAAAACAGGCCATATGTGACCGGTTTCAAGCAGTTGTCTTTTGTATCACTACTAGGTACTCCAAGGAGAAATCTGCTATATATGCATTGCAGGAAGTTGAAATAGAGCACTTTTGGGCGAAAGTTAAACGTTGAAAACTCAGTACCAGATTCAACTTGGGCGTTTGGATTCTATCAGAGGAACGCATCTGGCTGGATTCAACATAGAACTTGGCATCGAAGTGCAGCAGTTCGACTTCCCATGTTCCAAATAGCACACAAAAGTAGACAAGAAAATGAGTGAAGAGAACCAATAAAATTTTAACAAGTATAAGAGTGAAACTGAATGAGTAATGGTAGAAAGGAATATGAGACTGAATATTACAGAGACTGAATACATCTGCGTAAGCCATTGACAACGATTTTGAGCCATGTCACCTATTGTCTGTCTCCAGCCATTGATTCTTAGAGTCCCGAGGGCCCCAACCCGGGAGTCTGCATCTCCCTACCTGACTTGACTCAGTTTAACTGTGAAGGATTTCATGGATTGATTGATGCCATGTTTTTGTTTGGCCACCACTTACTCTTTTCCAACCTGCACCTATATCTTAGCTAGTAATGGCCGTCTGAGTGGGGGAGGCGACGGTTAGGCATGCGCACCACGTGACCTAGCCATCTCAATCTATGTAACTTCATAGCCTCGTCGATTGATTTTCCCTCTTTGCCCAACACTCTACGCCTAACGTCAACATTACTTACCTTATTGTACCACCTAACGTGAGAAAGAGATAGTAGACATCTATGATCAAAAACAGCCAACCTTTCCACGTCTTCAACTCGTATTGGTCATGTTTCAGAGCCATAGAGAAGGACGGAGCGAACTGCTGAGCAGTACACACGTCCCTTGGTTGATAACCGGATGTCACGCCTACGCCAGAGATGGTGTAAGTTAGCGAAAGCAGCTCGAGCTTTTTGGATCCGTGCTGAGATTTCGTCGCCAATCAATCCGTTGGTGCTGATACAACTTCCCAAATAGGTGAAGTGGTCAACATGTTCTATCACTTCACTCCCTATCACTAAGCTAGGAGTTGACGTAGTCCAGACATTCCTGTAGCAGCATCTTACATTTTACAGGGGCGAATCGCATGCCAAATATACGAAGATTGCTGCTCAAGGTGTTCAGAAGACTCTGCTCTATTTTGTCAGCATCTTCCCTTAACAGGACTATGTCGTCTGCATATTC